TTCATTCCCTGTAGTCATTCTGCATGTTGTAGTCTTAGAAGAAAACAAGCTAAAACAGAGAATTCCCCATGTGGCTTGTTTTCCAAAGTACCGAGAACAAAACCCTACGCTTCCCTAGGTCTTGTAACCCTTCAAGTCTGAATGGAAATATAGTGCTTGGTCATATTCTACTTTAAAAGGTAAATACAGATGAGATTAAAAAAAAAAGAATGTGTAGGAAATGTTTTGAATGTTCAATGAAGTTGTCAGGTCAAAGATATAGGTCTTGAGTCACAGTATGTAACTTTACTAAGTCCTTCAACCCTCCCTAGGAAAATATGTTTTTAAAAATCACAAATGGTAATTATTTTTTTCTGAAGATTAATTAATTTTTAAGACAGGTTCTCCCTGCCCTCAAACCTATGATCTTCTTGCTTCAGCCTCCAGAATGCTGTGATTGCAGATATATAAAACCATGCCCATTTATAATTATTTGCTATAAATTAACAAATAGTATTTGCTATTGTTTTGTTAAGGATCTTTTCATTTATCTTTTTGAATGATGTGTATCTGTATTTTAGATATTATTTTGGTACAGTCTTCACCTGGTATTTATACAATGGCTATATTTGCTGAACAAAACAATATATATTTTTCTTCCTTGTTTCCTGAAAGAGATTGTACAAAAATGTTGTTAATTCTTCTTTCAATATTTTGAATTTGAAATTTGCTGTTAAAAACCTCTAAATGTAAATGCTTCTATTATGTGGAATTAAAATTAAATATTCATTATTCATTAATAATAGTTCTCACCATTGTAATTTCTGAAAATTAAGCAAAGTGGGTTAAATGAAATAATTTGTATTTTGTAGCAGTTGTCAGTTCCACATAACTTGTAAGATTTAGGGTACAGAGTTGTCCATAGTATTTGTTGAGTTAGTATTTTGCAACTTAATCCATCATGCTTGTTTGTTCTCCCTGTTTTTATCTATATCTATATCTATATCTATATCTATATCTATATCTATATCTATATCTATCTATCTATCTATCTATCTATCTATCTATCTATCTATCTATCTATCTATCTATATCTTTTTTTCTCCTTTATCTCATTTAATCTGATTTATATACTCATTGTTTCAAATTTTTGTTATGACCTCTAATATTTTAAATTGTATCTCTTTGCAAAACATTTTTAGTGCTTTCTGTCAATATATATGTAAGTCACCATGGTTTTTGCATTTTAATTTGGTCAAGTGAAGTTGAAATACAACTACTATTTATATTAACTCCCTGTTGTAGAGTATTATTTTAAGATGTGTTACATTGGTTTATGTTGTGGAACATTTGTTTAATGATGAAAAATGTGTTGCATTCTTTTATGTTGCATTTGTTTAACTCTGTGAAGCTGTGATACTGTGCCTGTCTAAAACATCTGATGGTCTAATAAGGAGCTGAACGCTGAATGGCCAATAACGAGGCAGGAGAAAGAATAGGCAGGGCTGGAAGGCAGAGAGAGTAAATAGGAGGAGAAATCTGGGAGGAAAAGAAGATAGAGCAAGAGAACAAGGAGAAGAAGATGCTAGGGGCCAGCCACCCAGTCACACAGCCAGGTGTGGAATAAGAGTGAGAGTAAGATTATAGAAGTAAGAAAAGGAAAAAGCTCAGAGGCAAAATGTAAGTGGGATAATTTAAAGTTAAGGAAAGCTGGCTACAAACAAGCCAAGCTATGGCTGGGCATTTATAATTAAGAATAAGCCTCTGGGTATGATTTACTTGAAAGCTGGGTGACAGGCCCCACAAAAGAGAAAAGAGTAAAGAGTAATAAAACAAACAAAAAAAAACCTGTATACCTCCCCTTCTTGGTACAGTTGTCTAAAACACTCCCTTAGTGTGTTAGAACCATATGACAGGCAGTGTTGCAATTCTGACTTTGGGTGTCAGATATGATTTAGAAGATTTAAGCAGATGAGGAAAGTCTGTCTGCCCACATTTTCACTTCCTAATAGTATAAGGGTCTTCCTTTCATATGTTCCTCTTGATTTGGAGAACACTTTGCACTATTTTAAAGAAAAATCTTCTTTATGTTGGGTTTTCTTCCTTCTTTGGATGTTTGTGATTCCTCTTCTTTCCTGAAACCTATGTTCTCTGAATAAAGGAATCTTGGTGGATAGTTCGTTGTGTCTGCTGTTTTAAGGAATGCTTTGCTCCCTCATTCTGATGGTCCATGGCAAATGAACCTTCCTGTGAGGAAGGGGTCACTCTTGCTGATTTGGAGATTTGTTTTCATCATCTCTCTTCTGGATTGTGACATATCTGGACATGGATTTCTTGGCTTAACATGCGGCTTGTTTTCTGAATGCAGTGTATGTGTTATGCTAATATTTGAAAATTATATTATTGATCTTTTTGACATTTTTGTTTGTTTGTTTGTTTGTTTGTTTAGAATTGCATTCTTCCTAGGCACAAATGGTAGATTTGAAAAATTACCCCCAAGTCATTGGAGCACATTTCACTCTTCATTTTTTCCCCCTTTTAGTCAAATTAAATAATTTTGTCTGTTTTCCAGGTCACTAATATTTTGTCTGTGTCTTCCATTCTGTTATTGTTCATGTAAGAATGCTTGGTCATTATGTTTTTCAGTTACAATATTTCTACTTTGTTTTAAGAAATGTCTTCTATTGCTTATGGGTATTTATTAAAACTTTAATGAGCCTTCTTAGCTTCTAACACCTTTTTTAAAAAGCTTTATAATTCATACCTTAAAATTTTCATCACAGAGTTTTCACATCTCCATGATTTCAATATAGCACTTACTTACTTTACATTTCTTTCAATTTAAGAAGTTCCTTAAATTAAGTTAGATAAATTGTTTTTTGAAACTAAAACATTTCATATACTTCATCATGAGACTGGATGCAATACCAACTTTTTGCTTATCTTAGTTTTGTCACCACCCAGACACTGGAAAGAATGGTACTTCTATGTTACTGCCATGAGCTCTCAAGCTTCTCACAGTTGAGTGGATTTTCAGTTGCCATTGAAATCTAAGGTGAGTTGAGGCTCTTTCTTGTGGAGATGGGAGAAAGTTTCTCTCCAACAACTCTCCTTGCTAGCAGTGAAGAAGGACATTGCCTTAGTTATTGTCCCACTGTTGTGACAAAATAACCCCAACAAAAGCAACCTGAAGAAGGAAGGAAGGATTTATTTCGTTTCACAGTTCAAGGTACAGTCCATCATGGCTGTGAAGTCAAAGTTATAGGGGAGCTTAAAACAGCTTTCAAAATGTGTTCACAATCAGCTGAAAGGGATAATGAACACCATGCTGTGGCTCCATTCCCTTTCACCACTTACATAGTTTAGATTCCCAGCTGTGCCACCCACAGCAGGCAGGCTTTCCCACATAAATCAAAGCCATCAAGGTAATGACCCATAAGCATTTCAACAGACCTTTATCTCAGATGATTCTAGATTATGACTTATTATAATACTAACAATTACAGTGACTTACTTACTACTAGGATGAATGAAGGTCCCAGTTTCCTATTTGACCTCTGACTCAGCCTTAGTTGGGGCATTTTCATGGGTTGTACCCACAAGGGTGGCAGGCTAGGTTCCCTGTTTAACCTTTGAATTCACAGCTGTGAAGGTTACAGTTTTTCTGAGTCATTTGGCTAGTCTAATGTAGCTGTTGACTAAAATATTCTGCCATGCTAGGTTTTCTCCTTCTAGATCCTTGACTTAAGAGGTATCAGGTTTTTACTGTAAATTAATAGTCTGTTATCATAAGTGTTTTGAGGTTGTTAGCATCTTCATGTCCACTTTGGGATGCTTAAGGCAGAATAGTAACCAAGGAGAACACAATTAATGTTTATCTTGAGTAAAATATCCCTTGATGTTTGCCTTCTTTTCTTCATACATGAGATGCTCGCATGTGTGCTTTGTATCTAACTGCTGAGGATTATGGTCTCTCTCATTGAGAAAGTGGGAGAAGTCACACCTGTTCCAATTTCAGGAGCAGCATGTGGTCCAGATACTGCTTTTCCTCTAATACATTAAGTACTTTGACTCTTTACTAATTTTAAAAATGAAAATGCAATAAATGAGTTTAGTTTTGCTATTTTTAATTTGTCTTTGTATAAATGATGTTCATAAAAAAGTTCTGGTGCTTTTGATGAAAAATGTTTGCAAGATAATGAGCAATGGCAGTCTCTCTCCTGACTATATACTGTTCAAAGGCTGCGTGTTTCAGTTTGTAGTCATCTTCATCCTTCTTACATGACTACTTGGTATGAGAATGATGGGCATTTTAATACTTTGAGACATGTGAGATTTTTTTTTCCCTTCTTGCCATTTCTCTTAACACAAGCATGCATTATGTATTAAGAACTTTGGGCTACACAAAGAACAAAATAAGTATACATTTGTATTTGCAGACCCTGAGGTCAAGGGACAAACATAGAGGACAAGCAGTATTGGAAAAAAACACAATGAGGATTTGGGGTTAGTTTATTTTTATCTGTTGTGACTCATTTATGAGCAAACATAAACCACAGTATTAGCTACATATATTATAGGGCTTGCTTTGCAATAAAACAAAAACATTATACAAATTAATTCAGGGCAGCCTCAGAAGTGCATAAAAGTGCAAAAAAGCCTATGGAAAATGAATAATTATAACAATATTGGTAACATGGCGTTGATCGATCACCCAGTGCATTCTCTATAAAAGATATCCTCATCATTCCTCATAACACTCTTTGAGGTTATTAACTCATTTTGCATATGAGGAAATGGTTAAATTTGGTAGATAACTGATACTCTAGAAATGGTATGTATCTTATTACCTTAAATATTTTCTTCATGTACTTCTTGGGGTTTGAAGAAATGTCAGTACTTATTCTTTGGGGGGAATTTTGAGCATTTGTGAGTTGTGTATTTAGCATTTATCTTGTGATTCTAGCATAACCTTATAGTTTATACTAGAATCTGGTTGATCTTGCCTCTGTGTCTTCAGTTCCCATTTCTCACTCTGCCAATCAGCTTTATATGCTTTGCTTTCTTTCCCTTTTCCAAACTTTTCATACTCAGTCGTGTTACTCTGTCACCCCTACTGCATGAACATTGCATGTAAACCTTGCCTTTCTTTAGTATTTTAATATTGTGTTTTCTTTGTAAAGTGCTTTGA